TGTTTCTATATTTGTTGTTGTGATCATGGAGCTACATTCTTGATAAGACCAAGCCAACCCAGCCATGTTTGAGCTGTGGAATGTCATCTTGGTTTTAAATTTAACTCTGATACCTAGATTACAGGCAAATGCATATTGCTGGATCAGTACAGACAAAGGAATGAAGAATTGTCATGTAGAATTGCTCAAAGCCATGGCTGCCAGGTTCAAGGCGACAGGACACTCACCGCCATGGTCATGGAGCTTTCATACCGGAGTGTTGCTTGGAGAGTGTGCTGGGAGCTTCAAAACTGTAGCTGTATTATAACCCTCCCTGTTTATTCTTAGCAGCCTCGTCCGGATTCTCAAGGTTGACGAAGCCGAAACACTTCGACTTTCCATCGAAGTCCCCGGAGTACTCCTCTAAAGTACGTTGTCATGATTTTTATCTTTTTCGTTGCTGTCTTAGGTAAAGGTCCAATCTTAGAGGATTTCCCCATCTCTTAGGATCGACTATGAAGCTGGGTGGCGTGGCTGGGGCGGGAGGAGTGATGGGCATGGAGGACTGTGTGGTTTGTGTCGATGGCACCCCGGGTGACTGTAGGCGTCTGCCGTGTGCGATGGCGTATACATGGTGCCTGGCTGCCTGGCGGGCTTACGAGGAGTCTCCAGGAGGCATCTTGAGAGAAAAGGCGGAGGAGGATCTGCGGGAGTCGCACGCAGTGGCAATTTGTTGTGTGGCTGGACACTTTATGGGTTCTTGCCTCGGCTCCATGTTCGTCACTGACAACGAGCTCTTCAAGCTCGTTGCTCTCCTCTACTTGTCTCGCCGTCTCCAGCATTCCAGCCGCTTCAAGGATTGTGCCCGTTATCTGGACGGGAGTGGCTGTGATGGCCCCAAGCTTCGTGCTTTCTCTGAGTTTGGTACCTCCCTCGGGATGAAACTGGCAGAGCGTGACCCGAAGCAGCGCCTCACTCATTGTCTGGACGAACTCTGGGGTGAGTCAAATTCTTCTCTTGTTCATCCGATTCGTCTGCTTTCTCATTGCAGGTGACTGGCGCTCTGTTTTGGACAGCATCTTGCACACGGATTTCGTCTTCCTGATGCCTCCTCGCCATGAAGTAATCTTGTAAACTCACTTGCATTTATTATTGCCACCTTTCATGACCCATAGGGCCCTGCAACCAGCTTGTTGCTGAAGCAACTTCGAAAGCATATCAAGGCTCTCAAAGGCACTCCCAAGAAGCGGCCGTTATGCAAAGTGAGGGACAAGGTAGCCTCTCATTACGAAGCCGAATTGGGCCGCAATTGGAGCGCGTCATACAGGCTCCATACTCAAAATGCGTCAAGGGAGTACATTTGGGGCAGGGACATTGGAGCGACTTGTGGATTACCGTATCCCAATGACGCCGAAGAATGGTCCAGGTATGGTTTTCTCACTGTCGGCCAAGCCGTGGAACTCCTCAAGGCTGCCAAGGACAACCAGCTCTTGGAGGCCCTGGTCATGGAGCCGCCTCCAAACTCCGTGCTCATTTCCAACATCATGGCAATCCTCGACTGCACTGAGCATGCCCGGCTATGGTTGGCGAAGTCGAAGCTCCCAGTCTACTACAACTTCCCGCATCTGACATGTAAGTCATTCCTTCCATTCATCTTTCCTTCCGCCAGGTACCGCTCACTGCAATCGCAGATGCCAAGCTTCGGGATGAGGAATCAACCTCCACTCTTTCTCAAGAGTGTAAATTGGCACTAGAGTCTCCCCTGGGTTTTGCAGCGCGCATTCCGTCACCTGTGGAGAAGTTTCTGAGGCGTTTGGCTATCGATGCAAACGGGTAAACAAAAATCACACAAACTGGCATTGGCTAAACCGTGCTTGTGTTGTACAGAGAGTTGCTTGATGACGAGGATGTCTCTGGCTGGTTTGCCGTGCTGCCGGAGGGCTTCAACTCAGGCAAGATTCTTCTTCGCCGTCTCCAGATACCGAGAGGTGTGGGAAACGACCTCCAAGACAAGGACTGGCTTCGTCAGGTGTCTCACACAGTCACCCTGCTATCGAAGTGTGAGCCGCTCGACAAGCTCAGGTATATTCTACGCAGCAATGTATCGCCCAAGGAACACGTCTCCGACTTTGTGCGCACAGCACAAGGCACGTCCGAAATAGACTGGCCTGAGTGTTAGTGTGCTGCATCGTAGAATACGCAGAATCTACCTTGATGTTCCGGATTCCCCGCTAGATAAAATATTGAACTAAGAAGATCCAGAGTCTAGAGCATTCCATTACATATCCCCGAGTCTCTGACGAAGGAATCATCTTGAGAAGAGAAGGCCAGCGTTCACAACCACCTTTCGGCCTAGTGCTTTCAGATCCTTGCCGCCGCCGCCCACCAGGATTTCTCCCCGGGGCTCGCCCCAGGTATTGCTGGATGTCCGCCGCATCTTGCATCGTGCACAGCGGCGAGCTTGATCACGCTCCGGGGACTCGTGGAGCATCGTATCGGACCTCGCGCTCAAGCGGCTGGTCGCCAGGAGGTCGGTCTCTCGCCTTCACCTCGCAAGCGAGCGTCCGTGGAGGGCCGGCGCACTCCGAGCATGCAACTGGGGGATATTGTTGTAGGTTTTAGAGTTATTGAACTGATTGAACCATAAAATCATTACTGCTCATAAACCAATTGAAATCTCTTGTTAGGTCTATTTAAAAGAGCAAGAGTATAAAACCAAGGCTCAGGCTATTTTGTTGCATTTTTTTTTTTCTAAAACATGTTTTTGTTCATCTACTGATTTTGATTTTGAGCAGTTTTCCTTCTCAGATCTATGAAATGAATGGCGTCGTCTATCGTCAGAATTGGGAGGCAGGGCATTCTTCTATATCATGGTAGCAGTTTTTTTACTGAACCATATTGTTGCAACGCTTTAGGTATTTTGGATCCAATCTTAAGTTTTGGACTGTTCTTGGGCTACAAGATACCCACCTTGGCTGAGCAAAGTAAAGCTGGACCCATCTGGAACTGGTGGACTTTACACTCCCAGAGTGGCTCGGGGAAGCACGCTTGATCATGGAAGAACACTAGGAGATTCATCTGCCAGAAGAGCTCTACCGCCACCTTAGATAAATCCGCACTAAGTCGTGAGCATCGTGAGATTATGAGGATGAGAAAGAGGCTGACATGAGCAAACAAAGATAAAAAATTCACCTATGATCTTAACCACGTTTTTTTTCCAGGCCTTCCACTTTGGCTGCAAGTTGAATTATCTTTGGTCTAAAGAAGAAAAGGTTCAAACTGAGAATCTAACCACAGATACCCGGATATCATGTTTTCCATGGGTCTTGTAAAAGACTTTGAGGCTGATCATTAAATCATAATAAAGCTATATAAAATAAAATCGTTATATACAGTGACTATAATAGATGTGTTTATATTACTATCTTACTACCATATTGCCAGCGAGCTAATTTTATATCTAGTTGCTTTTGACAAGCCTAATGAGGCTCACCTAAACACATTGTCGAATGTTAGTATATTTGTTTTAACTAGCAGAAGATGAGGTAAAGTAGACATATGGATCACAAAAGCTCACTACTTATATATTGATTTGCTTAAGCAACTTTGTAAGTGGTAGTGGATATTCCAGATATATCTTAGGATATTCTAGAAATACTATCATCATGATGTTAATAAATTATAAACATATTTATAATTTATAAAATTTCTTAAACTTGGTGTAATATTCTATATTTATTCTTTTCATTTTTTTTTCGCAATATAAATCCTTGCTCAAAGAAAAGTTGAGTTTAAGAAGAGTATCTTATCATCTCTCTTGTATTTTTTTTTTTCATTATCTATCTTCTTAATCCAGAACATGTCTTACAAATCTCACACTATCATCCTAAGAGCTCTTTCTTTGCTTTTATTCTGGATCATCCACGAAAAAAAGAGGAGGATTTTTCTTTGACACATCCAACTGCATTGTGAGAGAATTGATTGAGTCAGGAATTCTCCTTGTTGTAGGCTCTATAGGCCTTCCTCTCCCCCTGGCACCTTTTCTTTCTTGGATCTCTAGAAACAAAAATCACTTGTTCTTTGTTTTGTATGCAATGAACTGTTGACATTGGCATCCTTTGTCTCACAGAGTTATGAGAGGTTTCATAGCTCCCTTAGCACAGCCTCATGGGAAAGTTGTCAAGTGAGCTTAACTTGAGTCAATGGAAGTATAAATTGATACCAACAATCAAAACAAGAACGAAAAACTTGACACCACCAGATTCAGCACTTATGCTGTCAAAAGACAGGAACTTTGCAGCAAACACGATCCTTGTCTTGCTCTACTGCATCTGACTTTGGAGAATCAGGCTATGACATCTTTGCAGTCTCTTCTCTATAAGTATCGCTATAACTCTCCCAAATCATTGTAAGAATCCTGGTGATTATCCCTATAGAAGTGTTTCTTTGTGAAGCTTTAGGATGTGCTAGTTTCCTCCAAAACAAGTAGTTTCTTGTCATGATGGTCTCCTGAGCAGCAATTTTAAAATTATCACCAGACTGATGATGGAACAATTGCTGCATTATGTCACTACCAACTGCCAAAGTTGCTGTTTACTGCCTCTCTCCCTTGAAAACCTCAATGGTCTGGAAAAATTGACATACTCCATTCCTATATGGACAACATTGTGGTGAGAAAAGAACGAAGTCCAATCTATGAGTGTCTTTTTTTGTACCAAAATAAAAATAAAAATGAAATGTTATCCACTTTCTTTATGTATTTATATCCTGTTTTACATCTTCTTGTTAATCTTGTTGTTGCACTTGTTCCTTCTAAAATATTGATCCTCCTTGCGCTGATCTTCTCTCCTAGAGGAGATTCATAAGCAAGAGTATAATTCAGAGAATCACTAACATCACTGCTGAAAACATTGCTCCCTTCTCAAAGAAGAGCAATATAACCCACAAAAGAAAAACAAAGAAAACTACACCACTTTTCATGCTGATTGGAATATGCAATCAAAATTCAAACCCAATGATTGTTAGGGCCAGTGTCTAGGTCTCGCCGAGCGGTAAGAGTTATCGACCGATTCAAGCATGGCTTCTTCACGCATTTCGATCCTATCAGCTCGGTTACCGTCCACAAATCTCAATGTAGGTGGAGCTTCTCCGATCAAATCAACTATTGCCTTTTTCTTTCTCTCGCAGGGCTCTCATCAAAGTTTGGGAGCGGCAACGATGGACCTTCTTCCAGCGCTTCATAATCACTGTAAGAACAGGAGCGCTACTCTTTTAAGATGTTCCAGAGCTGCTGCTGCTACCAACGGAAACTCGGCAGTTTTGATGCAAAAGAAGAAGGAAGAAAAAGACGACGAGAAGATCGATCACTCGCCCCGGCATCTCTTTCAGTATCCAGATGGGCCATCGCAAGCAACGTTTTTTCGATTTGACGATGTGGAAGAAGTTTCTTCGGCGCTGGCCGAGTATATCGTCCAAGTTTCGAATGAGGCTATCAAGCAGCGAGGTAAGTTCACTTTCGTGCTCTCGGGTGGTTCCATAGTGAAGGTAACTGAAAGTTTCCTCTTCATCTTCTTCGTTTTTCGTTTTTAATTTTGTTGTGAATGATTTTCTTGCATCCAGGCTTTGCGATTTCTCGCGGAAGGCCCCGTTTTTCACAGCATTGCTTGGGACAAATGGCATGTTTTCTGGGTGGACGAACGAGTGGTCCCTTTGAACCACGAAGATAGTAATTACAAGCTCGCCAAGGTGAATGAATTGTGTGCTTTTTTGCACGTTTTTTTTTCCTCTCTGATTTTATTTTTCTACAGGACGAGTTTTTGTCCAAGGTGCCAATTCCTCACGAACAAATTCATGCAATCCAGAATTTCCACGATGAAAAGGCTGCGGCCCATGCATACGAGTCAAAGCTAAGGTCGTTTCTCTATCTTTTGTTCTTTAGTTCTTCAATGGAAATGGCCTGGACAGGGAGCTTGTGAGGAAGAAAGTGATCACAACGAAAACCGCCAAGAAGTTCCCACGCTTCGACTTTGTAAGTTCGCTCTTTCGCTGCTCTCCTTCTCAGCTAAATTCAAGATGATATTTCACAGGTACTCTTGGGACTTGGTCCAGATGGCCATGTCGCCTCGCTATTTCCAAATCGTCCATCGCTAGCTGAAGAAAAGCTATGGGTGCTTCCAATATCCAACTCTCCAAAGCCTCCATCGAAACGAATCACAATGACACTTCCATGCATCAACGCTGCCGAGCATGTAAGTGGTGACGAGGAGATCTTCCAGATTTCTTTCTTTCTTTTTTTTTTTTCTTCTCTACAGGTTGCGTTTGTGGCCTTGGGCTCTGGAAAAGCTCATGTTCTTCACAGAGTTCTCGAAAGACCAGCACTCCCAGGCTCGTTACCAGCTCAAATGGTTAGAGTAGACGATGGAAACTTGGTGTGGTTTGCCGACCAAGGCGCCACTTCGGAGCTCCACCTGGAGAATTGGAACAACGCAAAGCAGTTCCCCTTCTTCGATTTCAAGCAACCCGCGAGCGTTTCAAGCTAAGTCGAAAACTTTCCTTTCTTCATCCAACGCAATAAAACTGTTCGTGCTAGAGAAGCTCTCCCGAGTTAAAAGAGTGAAGGAATTCACATCGGCTTCCAACTTCATCCTAAAGTGGCTAGAAGATGAAAGAAAATACAAGTTGTGTGTATATTCATTCGTAGCTTGGCGACTTTGTCTTCGCTGCTCCTGTGAGATCTCTTCTCGTCGTCGTCGTCAAGCAGGCAGAGGCTCGCTGGTTTCCGGTTCTGGTGCCTCTGCCGACGAGACTGCTGATGGACCACTTGTGGGAATGAAGGACTTCACTGCTGGAGTGACACCACCGGGGGCGATTGCACGGTTGACAGCAGGAGCAGGCTCGGGACTGGGTGCTGGAGCTGGAGTAGTCGCCGAAGGAGCCATGATAATCTTCTTTTCTTTGATGATGTGTAGCACCTTGTTTGCTTCGTCGATGAAGGCTTCGTATCCCTCTATGTTCCGGATGACTATATCGATCTGTGAGAGGCATAAGATAAGCCAGCTTCTTCTCATAAGGAGTATAAAAGAGATATCTACCTGTAGGAAACCTTCACAGTTTGCCTTCAACGTTCTCAAAGCTACCTCTGCTCCTTCCGAGTAGGGGTATCTGCAGTAGCAAGTTTTCTTAAGCTAAAAACGCCTTGAAACTCTATAAACATACCCATAGATTCGGCACGAAAGTGGAGGAAACGCCAAGTACTTCAAGTTTTCTCTCCTGGCGACGAGAAGAGCAGCCCTGGAAACAAAGACATTTGGTCACATCCAGCAAGATAATATTGAAGAGGAGAGATAGTTACTTGTAGGCTTTCTCAAGGTAAGGATCCGACTCTCTCACGTTGGTCGTCTCGTCTTTCTTATAGACTGGTCCAACAGTGTGGATGACACGAGCTACAGGCAAGTTGAAAGCTCTGCAAGACATCTATGCCTGTCAAGTTCGCTTGAAAAGAAAAACTAGCAGACCTGGTGCTGATAGCATCTCCAACCTCGGCCTTGATGCCTTGCGGAGCAACATCGGGCAGCCTCTGAGTAGCGTCCAAAAGTCTCGATCCAGCAGCTTTAAACAAAACTGGACCAAGAAGAAACCAAGTTACGAGAGGAAAACAAAGCTTTCGCTTTCATACCGGCATTCACAGCAGGTCCGGTGTTGAGCCTCTTGTTGCCGGGAGCAATCTATAACAAAACCACATAAAAACATCAAAAGGAGAAGGAGAGAAAAAAGAATGGTACGTACCACAGCATCATACTTGCCATCGACATGCCACTTCGAGAGATCTCCAAAGTAAATGGTAGTGAAGCAAGTCTCAGACATCTTATAGTGGACGCGCTGGAGGAGCTCGGTTGGCGCTGGAGGAGGAGTGAGCCACTCCATGACTTTGGACTTCTGCTTGGTCGGATCGTAGGGTCTTGGGGTTCCTGGCTTTGGCCGCGGAGTTCCTGGAAGCCCAGGAATCTGTGTCCCCGGAAAGTTAAGTCCCAAAGCTCCAGTGAATCCCGGGGACATGGTGGGAGGCTTTGCGCAAGTCGATTGCTTCTCGATCGGCGCCACCGGAGCCACGGACGATGCTCGTCCCGGCGGCTTGGCCTCGGCGTTGCTGCTCTCGGAATCGACTGGCGGCGGAGGTGGCGGCGGCTGCCTGGTGCGATTATCCGTTGGAGGCTGGCTGACCCTCTTTGGCACCGCTGGAGTCGACGATGGCAGTGGAAATTCGCGACTGGCGCTCGTCTGGAAGGCACGGGCAGCGCCGGAGAGGAGATAGACGCTGCTACCGCTGCCGCCATGGCCGACTCTTCGCCGGAGCGCCTGCATTGCCTGCATTGGAAGGGATTTCCTGCAAGGGATGCGCGGTAGAACCCTAGCGCTGGACAGAGAAAAGCTAACCCTAGCTGGACGCGCTGCCGCCTGGGATGCGCTGCAAGCCGCCTTGGAAGAGAACACGCAGCACCGGAAGAACCCTAAACCCTCAGGGTATGGGGGAGGGTTTATGTGTCAGCCGTCCGATCAAAAGCATATTCTCCTGGGAGAGATATTTTACCGTTTAGGGTTTTTGGGGAGAAAATCGATCGGAGGGATGAAGAATGCGTCCTCGTCTTCTCTCCGCTACTGCTGGCGGCATCGGATTTCCTCGCGGCATTCTTCGTTTGTAGGTTGGAGTAGAGTAGGATTGCTCGATTCTTGCGTCAATCGCCGGTTTTTGAGGCGCGGGAGCTTCGTCCGGCAAGCGAACGCTGGATTCTCCTGGCGGGATAACCAGGCATTCGCGGAGAGGCGAGCTTATGCGACATCGGCCAAGATCAAGCACGGCTTCGTTTGCGAGAATTGTGGGACGATTCACGCGAAGTGGCATGGATTTTGCAACCAGTGTCGGCAGGCCAATAGCTTGAAGGAGTTTACAAATGTAGTGAGTAGTGGGAGCAGTGGAGGAGGAGGAGGAGCTGGGGCGAGGGCAGTGGAAGGAGTGGGATTGGCCGATAGAGCCAGTGCCAATGGTGGGATTGTAGAGTTTGGAAAGAGGATGAATAGGCCTTACTTGGGAGCCAAGGCCGAGCTCAAGCCTCAACGCTTGGCCGAGATCACAGCGTCGAAAAACCACTTGCATTGGCGGCTGTCACTGTAAGTTTCACTCCTTTCTAGCTGGTTTTGGAAGTTTCTTAATGGATTCTTCCACAGGCCTGGGAAGACGGGCTCGGAGATAGCCAGAGTTCTTGGAGGAGGTCTTGTTCCAGGTTGATTGAATTACCCTATCATTCAGTCTTTTCTTATGCTTACATCCTCCATATATTTGCAGGCTCTCTGATTCTCGTCAGTGGTGATCCTGGAGTTGGCAAAAGCACGTTGCTCTTGCAGGTTTGTGCTGGAATTTTTTTTGTCTCGCTCGAATGCATGTATTTTAACAGAAGTATCCCAGTTGGCGGAGATTGTCTCAGTTGGGGCCGATGAAGCAGCTCCGGTCCTCTACATCTCTGGGGAGGAGGTAATAAATTTCAAAGTCGGATCTTTAAACATCAAGTCTTGCTTTTTGTTCATTGTAGAGCGTTGAGCAAATCGGAAACAGAGCGGAGCGGCTAAAAATTGAGTCCAACGAGATTTTTATCCTGTCTGCTACAGATCTTGATGTAAGCTGTGTCGAGCTTTCAACTTTTATGACATGGTGGGTCTTGCAGGTTGTTCTTACGTGGATTCAAGAAATTGTTCCGCGTGCTGTTGTGCTAGATTCTATCCAGACAGTCTATCTACCAGATGCTTCTGGAAGTGCAGGAAGTATTTCTCAGGTACGCGAAAAAGCCTGAGCATTTATTTAATCTCTTGCTTATACCAAGTAAGAGTTTTTCAGGTCAGAGAATGCACTTCGGCTTTGCTACGGGTAGCGAAGAAGACAAACACTGCCATTTTTCTGGTGGGTATGTATGCTGGAATTTCTACCTGATAGACCATAACTATTGGCGATATAAAGATTGGGCATGTAACGAAATCTGGAGAAATAGCGGGGCCACGTACATTGGAGCACATGGTTGATGTTTGTCTTCACTTGGAGGTAAGAGGTTTTTATCTTTGTTCGTTTGAGGTTGCCATATATTTCTTGTCTCTAGGGAGACCGTCTTTTGTCTCAGCGGCTTCTAAGATCACTAAAAAATCGCTTCGGTTCTACGAAAGAGGTGACTGTCTTCCAGCATTTGCTTTTAAATTGAATCTCGCTGTTTTATCTTTATTACAGGTCGGCGTGTTTGAGATGGTCGACAACGGTTTACGAGCGGTAGAAAATCCCAGTTTGATGTTTCTTTCTGATAGAACTGGGGAGGACAGTAATGCATCAGCCACCGTTGGGGTGGCTTTGGAAGGATCTCGGCCGCTGCTGGTTGAAATCCAGGTAAGCGACTTCTAGGATTTACGTTGGATGATGATACTTTTAGCCAAATCTGAGCGTTGTCTGGCTGCTCTAGCTTTCCAGGTTCAACGAGAGACCGGTGGTAGATTCTTTGGAATTTCCCGAGTTTCGAGTGAGCTGGACTGCCAAGAACAGTTTTTCTGACTTGCCGTGATCTGACTTTAAAACCGAGAAGCGTATCTGACAACGATCAAAAGCTAAAGTTTTCTCCGGCATAAACGCGCGTTTTGCAGGCCTTATGCTCTCCTGCCACTTCACTGCCAAGTAAAAGAACGTTCACTGGAGTGGATCCATCTCGATTCAATCTGATTGTTGCCGTAAGTCACTCCATAAATATTCTCCACTTTTGTGAGGCTTGACGCTGTGATGCCAGGTCTTACTCAAACAAGCGCGCTTGAGACTTGCAAGACAGGTGCGTTCTGTACTTTGTGATAGCAAAAGTTCTTATGCTGAAAGACTGGTCTAGGATATTTTTGTTAATGTCGTTGGAGGCTTTCGTTTGGAAGAGCCCGCCACAGATATTGCTGTTGCCGTCGCTATTGCCAGCAGGTACTTTCTCTCGACTAGCTGGGCATACCAACTCACGAGCTTCGTCTTGCTTGCAGCTATATAGAAAGGCCGGTTCCTCGGGACACAGTCTTCGTTGGTGAGCTAGGACTCGGGGGAGAGCTGCGCTTTGTAAGTTGTTACGTGGTTTCTCACTTTTCAATGCTGGAAATTCCGTCCATGCAGGTAGCTCAACTCGAAAGGCGACTGTTTGAGGCATCCAAGCTGGGTTTCAAGAAATGCATCGTCCCACAGGGTGCTAAAGGAGTCAAGGTGGACGGGATGGAGCTTATTCTTTGCTCGAGCCTCAAGGACGTTCTAGAGAAAGTCTTCAACTACAAGAGCCTGCCCCAGCAGCGAAAGAGTGGAGCCACGGTTCATTTGGATGCGTTTCCGGAAGAAGACGGGGTGTGTGGTGAGGTCCAAGTCGGTCAGGACGCTCTTGACGATGATCTTGCTAATGGGTAATCGTAAAGTTTTAATCTCACAGGTGTACATATAATTTAGCAGCTTATACGAATTTTAAATGTTCCAAGGCTAGATCTAGCAATATGATTGGCGGTCTTGATTGTTCTCTTATCCTCAACAGGCATCACCCAGAAGAGCGTGGAGGATCTGTGATTGTCTCCTACATCATTGCTTTAAAGTCAGTCAAGGATGGATTGTCCTCACCTGCCTCTCCTTGGATCAAGCTCCATTTCCAATGAAAGATTCACTCTTCTTCTTGTGGCTCAATCCTCTACATGCCACTGGTTCCAAGCAGCCACTCCAGCATAGCTCTGCATGACGAGGAAGGGGATCACACAAGCACTATCCAAAGGTCTTGTTCCTAATAATGTAAAATACATTAACTTTGTTTAGTTTCATATAAAAATAAGAAATTAAAGAAAACATTATTTTAATTAAGATTATAGTTAAAATTATTCCTCCACAAAAAATTTTTAAAACCATTTTTATAAAATGTTATTACTGTTTTTAAAATTGCAAATACTATGCATTTTAAGAAAAATACATTATTTAAAATAATTAGATTTGGGAGGTCATCAAAGTTTAGTACTATTCAAATCCAAGGACATTTAACTTTAAACATCCCAAAACCTTTAACCGATTGGAAAAAAAAGTAATCATGGGCTCTTTTCTTCTATATTTGAATTTTTATAGATTGTCTTTTAAATCATTTCTTTTGGTTACTTACAATCTATTACACTTCCCTACAAGTTTATGCCCTCATAAACAGAAACTAAGATTTGCAACTTTAATGAAAGCCACACTCCCTTGACACCTTACCTTTCAGGTCGAGTTTAGCTGAAACAAATTATACCAACCAAATATCAATTAACATGTGGTGTGATTCTCTTAACCAACCAACAAAAGTCAATTCAAAAGTTCAAAAATAAGGAAAGACAGTTACATGATCTCCAAGGCAGTAAACCTCGAACCAGTAGTAGCAAAACGTATTTCCGAAAAAAGAAAAGTCAAAAGCTCTAAACACCCCTTTGCCTTACCCTGGTGTATCTGACCTCCAACAGGAATTACGATAGCATCATTCTTTCCGTCCACAAACCACTCTAGTATGTCCCCACGTTTAATCACAAACTTGCAAGAGCTGACTTTACAAACAAGCTTGAGGTCCTTTCCCTGATCAAAAGCCACTATATCTATTCGGGAAAACAAAAAAAAGAAGAGAGGTAAATTTAAAGCATTATTACCTTGAGGTCCATCAGCCTTATGCAGGGGTCCCTGGGACGTCGGGGCTCGCAAGAGGTAACGGGTTTGGGTACTTGAGGGTTCCCATTGACTGAGAACAGTAATATCGTTATATAGCTATAACTAGTTTACTGTACGTACCTAGGGGGCGCAAACCATGGGGTCTAACACCATATAACTCTACCATCTCTTCTTCGTCTTCAGACTCAGATTCATCGGGAGGATCGGAATATATATCGATTGGGCCTTCCTCTTTGTCCTCTGCGGCACTGTGTAGCTGTCCACTCACCTCTTGAGTCATTCCAGAGGCCACTTTCTGTCGCAGCAGCTCTCCAACGGGAACTACTGCGAATGTCCTGCATTCATCGGTCCCTACATCGGCAATCTGGCAGCAAGCTTCCTCGAGGCCCTGTACTAGTTCGCGCGTTACAAGCTGGTTTGCGGATCGAAACTATAGAATACTCACAAGTGCGTCAATCCGAGTGGTGAAAACGCTAGTATAATCGCTATCCATGTGACACTCTAGGTGTCTTGATGCAACAATAAGATAGGAGTCTGCTGTAGTCAGCCGCTCCTGCGTGCACAAGCTTCCAGAATAACAAATTTCAACAAAAGGGTAGTAGAAAGGTAGACTGCTGCTTTGAGGGGGACTAGCATTTTTGAGACGGTAGAGAGAACTTGGACGGGTCAGCCTCTCGTCCTTCCCACTTCGGCACAGTATCACCGATGCAAGGGCCTCGCCAAACACATACACATGTGCGTCTCCAAGCACCACCACCAAGGACCTGGTTTGGGCACACCAATCCTATAA